CAGCAATCGAGCGCCGCATACAGGTTTCAAGAACCCTAACAGGGTGAGCACTTCAATCGCAGAAAATGAAGAGAAAGATGCCAGCTCATCCACCCCGGTGCCTTAGATATGTCATACACCATATTCCTAGGCTTCCCAGCAACAACACAACCACCTGGCTCAAGGACCATGGATTTGAGCTCCTCCACAACGCCTTTTCAACACACCTAGACCAAAAACTGGCGAGGAAGCTGGCCGCCTCCTTCAACCCCAAGAACAGCACCATAACCGACAGCACCAACGAGATCACCCTCAATCCAGCAAGAATCACCTCCGTTTTCAAAATCTCCAACAAGGGACTACTCAAATTTTCAGGAGAAGTTCCACGGCAAATCATCAAGGCCAATCGAGAAATTACCAGTGAGCTCACATGGGAGGACATCGAGGAGCAGCATATGGATTGCCTCAAAGCCCTCCTCCTCTACAATGAACTTCGCCCAACAGATCGCACCATCAGCAAGCGCACAACAGAAGTCTACGGAGCTCTACTCGACGACAAATGTGTGAATGTGGCTCATCATCTCCATGAGCTCCTTCTCAAGCTTCTCGACCATGCCATCCTTGCCACACTCAACAAGAAGACCATGCGGACAGTAATATTCCCACTGCTGATCGCTCTACACCAAACTCTTCCCAACAAACAACTGTGGACAACCCAAACGAACTCCATAGAACAAAGTGACAGCTCCGAAGAACACTCAGAATCAGAAGGAGCAACTCCCAGCAAGAAACCGAAGCCAGCATCTCAACAATCAGGTGTAAGTAACTAAAGGGAATGACTCGAGAGACGATCCATAGGGATTCAAATATAGAGGGAAAGGGCCTATGAACAAGAGTGCACCCCCTTTTCCAATCGGTTAAGGGTCTTGGGATAGTTGGAGTTAAGCGTCCTTGGGTTTGAATAGTACTGGGCTGGATGACCTCCCGGGAAGTCCAAACTCAGGAGCTTACATTTGGTATTGGAGCGGTCTCGGGTCCGACTTTGTTGGTTGGCTAGGGGAATCGCACCACATGTTGATTGACATCTGGCTGGTCCAGTTTGCTCCCGCTGGGCTCGACCCGAGGGGTAGGGTGTCAAGAGAGCGGGGCTCTCGGGAGAGCTGCGGCTCTCAACTTCCGTTCACGAGGGCGTGAACTTATAAGGGCTCGACCCGAGGGGTAGGGTGTCAAGAGAGCGGGGCTCTCGGGAGAGCTGCGGCTCTCAACTTCCGTTCACGAGGGCGTGAACTTATAAGGAAGCGTGGTGGATTGTAAATAACCAAAGGGAACGACTCGAGAGACAATCCATAGGGATTCAAATATAAAGGGAAAGGGCCTATGAACAAGAGTGCACCCCCTTTTCCAAACGGTTAAGGGTCTTGGGATATTTAGGGTTAAGCGTCCTTGGGTGTGAATAGTACTGGGTTGGGTGACCTCCCGGGAAGTCCAAACTCAGGAGCTTACATCAGGCTCAACTCACTCCAACAACACCAGCTCTAGCAACAAACACTCCAACAATTCAACTCCACTTCACCGCCGCCTCACACGCAAAACGCCAGCGAATCCAGCTCCAAAACCGCTGATCCGAGAACACCTCGTCATCAGCAACAATGAAGACAACTCACACCACCATCCACACTCACCCCAGAGCCCACATCCACTCGAATCAGCCCCAAAACCGACAACTTCTCACAAACACATCAACATCGCCAAAGGAAAACGTCAACTACTCGCCCAGAACTCAATTTCTCCACCAGCTGAGAACAACATTCTCAACGCCCCGACCTCCTCAACATGTTCCACAAAAGAAAACATTGACTACCTTCGCCAATCACTTGAAGAACACGCAACCATGCCTCCTCCAGCAAATACCACAACCAGCATTCACAAAAATTCCGCCCCTTCAACAAAATTCCAAGTGAAAAATTTCCCAACGGATAAATTAATTTCAGCGCCACATCTGGGCCGTTCATCCACCATCAAACTGAAAAGCTCATCTCCAACCACCTCAAAGAATCCGGCCCGACCACGTCACCCACATCCAACGAAGCAGATTCAGCCTCCAGCAACTTCAACTCTCGGATCAAGAACACAGTGAACCCTAGCGAGAAACACCAGGATCACGGAGCAGGAGCAGGAGCAGCAGCCATGACTCAGCCACAAAGTCAGGTACGCCGTGATTACGACAAGATTAGGAAGGAGTACAAAGATAAACTTCGCGACCTAAGCTACTGCACCCGCAAGTTGTTTGAAGCCCTCGATCAACGTATGCACCGCGAGCAAGCAAACTACTTCCCAACACCAGCCAAGATCGCACAGCATCTTCTCAAGCAAGACTCCTTCATATACACCTAGGGAGCGATCAAGAAGGAATTCTATGAGCTTTTAAACCACCGGCTGGATACTCAGCTCGAAGAGATGAAGCAGATCCACATTGACCTCCGGTATCAGGAAGATCGTCTCCAAGCAGCCATCAACCCCATCAGCAGCTCACAAATTCACCTACAAATTCAAATACGAAGAGCTCAACACCCACTACCGGAAACTTGAGGATGATCATACCGCCCTCCTGGCTGAGGTAGCCAACCTCCAAGAAGATGGGACAGATCCACCAGACAGTGTCCCCAACCACGAGCTTACACTCCCACAGCAAAAATGTCACCTCTATTGACTAGAGCAGCAGCAACAAGTGATGGAGACTGACTATGTTCACACTGAGGATGGTGTCTAGTTCTATCAGGGGAACAGAGTGTATCAACCAAAAACCCAGGCTCAGGGGACTCCAACTTTGAACCTAGGGTTGCATCGGAGCCATAGATTAAATCATGCACAACATATAGTATATGCTAGCAATTAGAACTGCTAGCCTTTCAAAAGGGGGAATCCAAATTGTGGATCTTTATCTCCATTCCATCATTTTTTTTATCAATACATAACATTCTTTTACTCATGCTTCTTCTCAGCCCTTGGAGATCGGGCCTTTTTCTCTTTTATTTTCTTACTAACAATAGATTTCCAGTGAAGAGGAGTTTTCACACCTCTTCAGAACAACCAAGGATTGGGAGGAAATCGATCGGAGAGTGGACGAGCTGGACAAGTATGGCGAAAATTGCAAAAAGTGGCACGTCATGCTCAAGAAGATCACCGCCCAGTTCATGGAGAGCAGCAAAGGTAACGTGGACAGGGACTGGTGAGACCGGCCACTTCGATTACAGGAACAGGAGCAATGACACTGTGGGAGAGTATCCGTGTGTTTTGGGCAGCAGTATGCTCCTGGGTACCTTACGGTGGATGTCAAGGTGAACGACAATGGGAGAACTTATGAGGCTTTCATATTTGCGGGACATATGGGATACGTGATCGCCCAGGATGATGAGAAAGGGATTGCTCCAAAGAGTGTCTGGCCCATGACTCTCAAGAACACACTCAAGAAGCCCAAGATCCCTCGATTATAGACGTTTTATATAGTTATTTTCCGGACTGGTTGATCTCTAAGTTGCTTGTACTCCTTTGCTGTGGTAAGTTCTTTTGTGTGAACATGCCCATCCAGTTAGATGCGTTTGTCATTTTGTGATTATGGGCCCTGCTTTTAGCTTGCCTAAAATTTATCTGAAATTCAGATCATATGAGATTATTGCATCCCCCTCCATAGCGATTAAAATCTTAATCCAAAACTCCGTGCCAGGACGGACTGTGCTTCTTTCATTTATTTTTGAAATTTGGTTCAAACACTTTCGGTTGGTTCTCTTCGTTTTACCTCTTTGACAATAATAGGTAATTTTGTCTGCTGAAAAGATTGAGAAGAGATGACATGATACTGCGAAGATGGAGTGGCAGTACTAACAGTTTACAAGGACGACAAAAGGATTGAGCAAAGGTGATCCATCGACTCGATATTATGAAATTTATGAGGTCAAGGCTCTTGAAATCTCCCTGATTCATTTCAACGAGAGGAGGAGGTATGAAGAATTAAAAGAATTTCCAGGAGAAAGTGCAGGGCACCAGCATCGACGCACACGAATGGCTGCCATAGACAAATCCATAGCTGTCCAGCTTGGATTGTTTCAATGGCGCCGAGGAGCTGCAATCGAGTTTTGTTCACGGGGCAAGAAGGATCTGGTTTTTCTCCATTGTCCCAGTGGCGGTGCTCCACAGCACCGACTATGCGAACGATGTGATCGTTGGGAGCGTATTCTCACGGCCACTTTCAAGAGCTACATGGATTTGTCTCTTTTTCTTTGTAAACTTTCCTTTCTCGGGCCATGAAGGAAATCGATCCGAGAGGACGAGCTGAAAATTGTAACGTCATGCTCATCTGCGCAGTTCGTGGAGAGGCCTCCCGATTCCAAGAAACAAGGAGGAGTTCCGTAGCCTCCACACCACATATACACCTCCACTTGAATAGTTTTCCATCTCTGCTGAGGAAGCTCGCTTTTCAAACACCTGAAACTCGCAATGATCGTCGGGCCTGACTCAAGCTTTGATCACCAAAAGCCAAAGTCGCAGCCGAGGAAAGGAAAAGAAAGAAAGAGACTAGCCACAGTCACTGATGAGAAAAATCGTAAAAGCTCACCCCAAAGCTTGCAGGTTTTCACGGAGCTAAAAGAATCCATGTCTGGACTTATCCCATGTGTCCTGTAAACATGAAAGCCTCGTAAGTTTCCCATTGTTGTCCACCTTGACATCCACCGTGAGGTACCGGGAGAAATGCGGCTATCGTCAATGAGCGGATACTCGACATCCACAGCTCCGTTGATCGTCACGCCACTTTCCATCGCTGTCGAAGAAAGAGATCCAGCTGGAGATGTATCGTGGACCCGATCCTCCTCCCAGGTGATGCCAAATCCTGTTCCAGAGGTCCGTGTCAGTTTTTACAGAATGAGAACAACGGGATTTGTCACCACCTGGGAGGAGGATCGGGGCCGCGATACATCTCCGGTTGGATCTCTTTCTTCTGTGTCTTCGCAGAGATATAAAAAGGCATGGCGATCGAAAGACTTCTCACGGTGGATGTCAAGGTGGATGATAACAGGAAACCTTACAAGGCTTTCATGTTTGCGGGACATAAGGTATACAAAGTTGTGGAGGCCGACAACAAAGCAAAGGCTGTCTGGGTCATGTCTCTCAGGGACAAAAGCCCAGCCATGGTGATTTCTTTTAACTCGTGGAAACCTGCAGGGATCAAGGTGAGCTCTTACGTTTTTCTTATCAGTGGCTAATCTCTTTTTTTTCTTTTTCCTGTGACTTTAGAAGACACGTTCCTTCTGATGATCAAAGCTTGAGTCAGACCGATTCAAAGGCGATCAGTTTCATCAGCGACAAAATAGTGTTTGTGTGTTGGTGTGTTTGTCAATGGGATTTTATTGTGGTGTTCTATGCCATATCAAGGTTAGATCTGGAGAAAAATTCAGCCAAAGCTGTAGCAAGGAATCCTTCCTCTTTCTAAGAATCAAAAAAAAATTGACGTTTCCAGGCAAACGCTGAAGTCTTCTTTGTGTGTTTTTGTTGACAAGCTGCCAACGTTTTGGCTTGTTCAACTGTGCTTAGTGCAGCCTTATATCATCTCTAAGGAAACGGCCTGTAAATATGGGTTTAGGACGTGTTGATCTTTTCTCGCAGTTGACCCGATCTCCTCTTTTTCTCTCAAGAGTGCTTTAAAAGCTCGAGCTCCAAGCACACAAAAGGGCAGAAAAAGGGAAAGAAGAGACGGGAACGACAACTTGAGGGCTTTGGAGCTAGGCTTGAATAGATTGGAAAGAAGGCTTGAATAGATTGGAAAGAAGGAAATCCAAGGGATTTTGATAGGTAGAGGATGGGCAGCTGCCATTTTGCAATGGCCCTGCTGGCTGCTGCTCTTGTCCTGTTGAAAAGCAGCCAGGTTCAGGCATTTGATTTCTCCTTCCCTCCAATGCCAGACTTCACTCCCTACTACAAATATTTGTCACCTCCACCTCCCTCTTATTACAAGTATGAATCCCCTGCACCGCCATACTACAAGTATGTTTCCCCTCCACCACCATACTACTACTACAAATCCCCACCACCACCATACTACAAGTATGAATCGCCTCCTTACAAGTATGAGTCGCCACCATCGCCACCATACAAGTATGAGTCGCCGCCTCCGCCACCATACAAGTATGAGAGTCCACCACCACCGCCATACAAGTATGAGTCGCCACCACCCCCTCCATACAAGTATGAGTCACCACCGCCGCCACCATACAAGTATGAGAGTCCACCGCCACCGCCATACAAGTATGAGTCGCCGCCTCCGCCACCATACAAGTATCAGTCACCACCGCCGCCACCATACAAGTATGAGAGTCCACCACCGCCGCCATACAAGTATGAGTCGCCACCACCGCCCCCATACAAGTATGAGTCGCCACCTCCGCCACCATACAAGTATGAGAGTCCACCGCCACCGCCATACAAGTATGAGTCGCCGCCTCCGCCACCATACAAGTATCAGTCACCACCGCCGCCACCATACAAGTATGAGAGTCCACCACCGCCGCCATACAAGTATGAGTCGCCACCACCGCCCCCATACAAGTATGAGTCGCCACCTCCGCCACCATACAAGTATGAGAGTCCACCGCCGCCGCCATACAAGTATGAGTCGCCGCCTCCGCCACCATACAAGTATGAGTCACCACTGCCGCCACCATACAAGTATGAGAGTCCACCGCCGCCGCCATACAAGTATGAGCCACCACCACCGCCCCCATACAAGTATCAGTCGCCGCCTCCGCCACCATACAAGTATGAGTCACCACCATGAGAGTCCACCACCACCGCCATACAAGTATGAGTCACCACCGCCGCCACCATACAAGTATGAGAGTCCACCACCGCCGCCATACAAGTATGAGTCGCCACCACCGCCCCCATACAAGTATCAGTCGCCACCGCCGCCATCATACAAGTATGAGTCGCCGCCTCCACCACCATACAAGTATGAGTCACCACCGCTGCCACCATACAAGTATGAGAGTCCACCACCGCCACCATACAAGTATGAATCGTCACCACCCCCTCCATATTACTAAATCTCCACTGCCTCCTTATTACAAGTATGAGTCTCCCATGTAAGTATCCACTGCCTAAGTATGAGTCTCCGCCACCAAATACGAGTCTCCACTACCTAGTACAAGTCCTGCCACCTCCTCCTTATTACAAGTACGAGTAAGTACGAGGCTCCACCACCTCCTCATTACTACAACAAATACCCACCACCACCTTACTATTACTACAAGTACGTAGCCACCTCCACCAGCTTATTACAAGAAGTAGAAAGCTTCATGTTGTCCCTGGATTCAACATAATATATATAAAGACTGAAAAAAATGTTGTTCCTCACATGCTTCATGAATCCCTGGATCAAAAAGATAATGTGCTTTGCACTTTGGTTTTATGTTATATTTTCCATTTTCTTCTGTTAGGATGCATATCTGCCTCAACAATTGCTTGAAAAGTTGATGTTTGTATAAACTATAATTAAATGGCAAGAGTGACAGGAGTTCCGATTTCGTTTCTTCTTTCATGGGGACAAAGTATCAAGGTATGGTAGATTTTCTTGTTACTTTGTTCATCTATTACAAACACTACTCAAGTGTTTTGAAACTTCGCCGTGCCAAACATTAAGGGACAAGTGACCAGGCAGAAACTTTAGTTGCAACCGTAAATAGTTTGGCTCTTGAATAAATTTTTGGAGACACTGCTGCATTACAGGTTCTAGAATGGGATTTTGACCAGGTAGTGCTAGATGGATACCTACTTAGAGGTATAGAAGCTAGTTCTTTGCTTTCACTCAGGCTCACCCCGTGGAAGTTCTATCACTTTGTCCGATGATGTTGGTACATCATCAGTGTTCGATGTTGGTACATCACAAAGAACCCTCGTCAAACAAGGGGGTTTTAAGTTGAAATTATATTAATAAACAATGTTAACTATTTAGGTCTAGTAATATTTAATTTATGACTAAGCTGAAGAAAAAAAGAATCTCTTATCCAGAAGCTGGTGAGAATGTTCCGGCCTTAGATATCCTCTGCCCTGAGCTTGATCTTCCTTGGTCTTCAATGAATGGCAGAGTGCCGAGTCCCTCTGTTTCATCTCCAAAAGTTTCTCCAGCAGCAACATCAATGTTCTTACCATTGCCATGAACTTTGGAGGGCATCATCAGCAGCAGATCTTCGGCCTCACATCTACGACCTGCGTGAATCAATATTAAAACGAAAACAGAACAAAAAAACGATGCATGCAGTCACAGCTGTGACTCCATTGGACAATTTCGTTCAGCACCTACAAAGAAAAGTTATGACAGAGAATGGAAATAGCAATCGGAAACACACCTTGCAAATTTGAGTCGGTTTCTTGTCCCCAACAGTTGTCCTTCCGAAGGACTTCAACCTTTATCCAAAGACAGCCCGCTTCCCGTGCCTCTGATGTACAAATCTTGGAAAATAGAAAACTCTACTTACCTCCAGTGCGTCAAGATACTGAGCCTTCCTCTCTCCAATCCTGGAGCCTTGATGGCCATAAAGCCACGTTCGCAACGAGAGTTGCAAATGCTTCTTGCTCGATCTGATCCTGTGTGAATGGGCAGGCAACACCACAAGATCGATATTGCTGAGCTTTCCTCCCTAGCCGATGGCCACCTCACTGTGGATGTCAAGATGGGACATATGGGATACGAGATTGCCCAGGATGACGATGCTCCAAAGAGCGTCTGGGCCATAAGAACACGCTCAAGAAGGCCAATCTCCTATAAGCTGGTGCTTTTTCGCTAATATTTAAACTGTTGTGTTTATCTCTACTGATTTAACGGTGTGGATTCGAAGGCTTGTAAAGATCTTTATCTAACGGTGTGGGTTTGGAGTTCTCATATTAACGGTCTAGATTTGTGGGATTTGGGGTTTCTACGGCCACTTGTACGAAGACTAGCGAGGAAGGAGAAGAGAGAATAGCGAGGGGGGGAGAGGAGAGAATGGTGTCATTTAGGGTGTCCAAGAAGGATCCGGCCGAGGTGAAGCCATCTCCGGCGGGGAGTGCCCATTTCCTGGAGCGATTCATGGAATTCGAGCAGGAGGGCTGCTACGATGTGTTGCAGGGCACAAGCGTCGGTGCGACCGCGTTTCTGCCGGAAAAGAACGGGTTTGTGGCAGCTGCGATCAAAGCTTACAGCTTCCATCACAATCTGGTGATCCGGCCCGACGATGTGTGGCTCGCCATCGCTGTCCAGTTTGGATTCTTCGTCAATGGCAACGCGGAGGCGCTGCGATCCATCTTGGTGGATCACGAGGGAAAGAAGGAGCTGGTTGTGTCCGAGCAGGCCGCGCTCCACAGCGGCGACTATGGGCTCCTGGCGAGGGAGATGAGCGTGGCGCTCAAGGAGACTGTCAAGGACGAGAAGGTTTGCGACTGGATCTTGCCGAGCTTCTCGACCACGACCAAGAACGATGTGGTGGTGGGCAGTGTGGTTCTCATGGCCACCTTCAAGAGCTACTTCGAATACAGGCAAGCTTTCTTCATGGTTTTTATTTTTCTCGTTTGCATTTGTGTTTTTAAGTTCTTTGTTTCGATGAGTGTCTTGCAATGCATGGAGTTCATGGGTTTTCTACGTGTTTGGTGTGGTGTTCGTGGTTTTTGGGTGTGGATTTTCCATTGATTTTCTTGTTGTCTTTAAAGCTGGCAACTTTTTTGGGTGATCTTCTCCCAGGTTTCGTCTCTGCTGCGGGATTCCATACGTGACTCTCCTGGGAACCACCGAGGATTGGGAGGAAATCGATCGGAGGGTGGACGAGCTGGAGAAATACGGGAGCGAGTGCCAGAAGTGGCGTGTCATGCTCAAAAAAATCACCGCCCAGTTCGTGGAGAGCAGCAAAGGTAACGCTGACACGGACTTTTGGAACAGGATTTGCCACCGGATTGGAGGAGGATCGGGCCCGCGATACATCTCCGGCTGGATCTCTGCCTTCTGCGTCTTCGACAGCGATGGACACTGGCATGGCGATGAAAAGTCCTACCGAAAGGACTTTTACAACGACGCTGTGGAGCTCGAGTATCCAGTCATCGAGGACAACAGTATCCCTCCCGGCTACGTCACGGTGGATGTCAAGGTGGACGACAACGGGAAAGCTTACGAGGCTTTCATGTTTGCCGGACATATGGGGTACGAAGTTGTGGAGGACGACAGCAAAGGGATTGCTCCAAAGGCTGTCTGGGCCATGACTCTCAAGGACAAGGCCAAGGCAAGGGTCACCATTCGCCGCTTTTAGCCTGCATGCCTCCTTCAATCTATCAGGTGGTTTAAACGCTTAAAAACTGTTTATTAAGTTATCAAGAGCCTTTGTATGTGTTTTGCTTAAATGATGAATTTTTGGTTTGCTTAAGTGAATTTGTACGGTAGTGAATATATCTAAGATATGCTTGAATCTTCTAGGATATTTTACCATTTAAAGGTTGTTATTCATTTATAATTTATAAATATGTTTATAATTTATAAACTTTTCTAAACACTTTCTAATGCATTATTTTTTGTTTGCTTAAGAAAATCTGTAGGGGGGTTAGGATGATAGTGAATATACTTAAAATATACTTAAATATTTTAAGATATTTTACCATCTGACAGTTGTTATTCATTTAGATTAATTTTATATTTATAATTTATAAAAACCATTTCTAGAATTCTATTATCTAATGGCTAGATTAATCTTGTTTTTATAAATTACAAACATGTTTATAATTATAAACTTTATTTGATCAAGTATACTAATAAGTAATAATAAAACTGCTATTAAGCAAACCAAGCAATTTATTTATTCTACCATCTAATAATATTGTGTTTATAAATTATAAACATGTTTACTTCCAGTTGATCAATTGGATTAATAATAGAAATAACACTACTATTAATCAAAGCATGCAACATAAAGCAAATTATTTTATTTTTAAAAATCAAAATATTATATTATTTACTAAAGCAATATAAGAGTATAGTCTTCTCATACATACTGTAAATTTGTTTGCAACCTTCTCTGCTGAAAATGTTGACAACAATAACCAAGGTTGCATCCTTGGGCTAGATTGAAGGGAGACCCACAAACTGTCTCAATTCGTTGACAGACGAGACAATGCACTATCCATGTTCGTATGTCTTTGTGCATGCCCTTCCAGTGGAAACGTTTGGATTGCTGTTGTTGTTGCCGCAACTCTGGCTGAGAATACACTACCCCCACCACAGCAAAAAGAAAACTTATGATGTTGAAAGTTTTCCTACATTTGGAACACTGTCATACTCTTGATGAACTTGCTATACATAATCACTGCTCCTATAGCAACGCAAACATGGACAATGGTGGCTTTTTGAACTTTCTCAATAATGAGTTGGGAAGAACATTCGAGTGACCTGGCTTGAACTCTATGGAAAATTCCAGTGCTTGAGGTTGCAATACCCAACGTCTCTACTTCTTGTTAAGGTGAGCTTGGTCCAAGATAAACTTTATACTGAGGTGATCAGTGTGTAGAACAGACCTCAGTGGAGTGCCATTTGCCCGCTACATGTGCTTCAGAATTTTTTGTTCCACAGAAAGCCGCATGAACGTAAGATGTCTGTTAGTGGGGTGGCAATGGGACGCATAATTCAGTTCTCAATTGCCTAACACTTTGCAAGCCTTTCTTAAGTTGTCAAATAGATCCACTTGTTGAGCTGACGGTAGTTGATAGCCATCTTTCTTGAGGGCAAGCAATACTGGAGCTACAAATGACCGCAAGTTGTTTTCGATGAGTCCTTGTGCGAGCAACTCCTGACCTCGCTCCTCGAATGCTCTTGTTGGCGTTGGAGAGCCTGGCTCCAGATAATATGATGCCTTCTACCCGTTCTCTCGCTTGGCTCCATAGACGCGATATGCCGTCAGGAAACATGAGGAAATCTTGGCACTAGTTGCTTCAACTCCTCTGGCATCACAGTCCCTTGAATGTCCTGCAAGGCTTCCTCCTCCTCGCCCGATCGTGACCGTTTCTCCATACCTCTAGCAACCTTTCTCTCTGC